CCCTGCTCCTGCTGCTACTAAAGCTTTGGCTAGATGAGACCGAGCCAGGGGAACTAGCACCAATGATCGTCCTAGTATCTTCTGAAGTCACTTCGACAGTGCCCGACCCCCCAATAATTCTCCTTGTGGGTCTCTGCTCCACCTCTTCTTCCTTTACTTTGACAGAATTTTCCTCAGAGTTTTCCTGTTCGATTCCCATGTCTGCCATGACTTGGGCAGTTACCGACCGCGTGTCTACACCAGGCGAGCTCGCGACGATCTCGGCTACCCTTTTCATCAGTTCAGCCTCCTTCACGCTCGGTTTCTTTGGAATTTGGTACTCCTTCCTCTCTTGTTCAGGGCCTGCTTTTTCTCAACCTTCTTTTGGTCGGCTGCTTCATCCCTCTGTTTTTAATGAGGATGGCGCCAGTGGCTTGAGAGGTGGGGACTCCCCCGACTTTACCCCGAGCTTGTTTTTTACTCAAGTGCATCTCTTTTATTTTCCTGAGGCCTCTTACTAAAGTAAATGTGCCAATTAAGGACCACCTAAGCCCCCCCCCCACACTCAGGCAGCTCGTTCTCTGGCGTAACGATGATTTATGAAGAGGTGGGGTATCGGATGATAGCTTAGAGCACACCCTACCAGCCCAAAAAGTGTTTTTTTGAGAAAAAGTCAAGTGGCGGTGAACTATGACCCTCGAACTATACATCATTTTCCAGAAAAAAATGCGGGAAAATGACGGTGCCCCTGTTAGGGACCACTTTCGGGTAGTGGCCGATTACGCAGGTTCTAAAGCGTTTCAAGACCTGAAATTTGGCACACGAGCTGGTAATATAATGTAGATTCCATTAAAACAAACAAAAAAAAATCGGTCCACACCCGGGGACAAAATGCCTGTTTCCCCGTTTTTACGGCTCCATTACCGGGGGCGGAAAATATCCCTTTTGAGGGATAACGCACGTTATTTTGCCATGAAACGCTTCAACCGTCGTATTCTGATGCACGAACGACTCGTGCGCATCCTATTCGAAGTCAAAACCAAAAAAAATACGACAAACAAGAGCCTGCAGACGATGTTATGGCTGTGCAAACATGGGTACTTTTCCCCCTTTTTTGACTTGGACGGCAGCAACATCCGCCTGAAATCTGCGAAGAGTTTAAGCAACCATTTTGCACCCCTATGGACCCCCTACCACACGCCGTTTGACAAAAACGCGCTGAAGGGTGCAGAAAATACGTTGGAAACGAAAAAAAGAAAAACACGACCAGCCCAGGGGACAAAGGTACAGCATCCCCGGGTTTCTCG